GGAACATAAAGTAATTTCCTCTGAGGCTTCCTCTGGCTCAAACAGTGACTGCATAATTTAAGCCTGCATATTTAAAAAAAACAAGTAAGCCACTGAACTCAAGTCAACTGACAGCTACTGAAAAACACTCACCTAAGGCTGTTCAGGCTCACCAGTTGTTCGTCCGAAACCCTATACAGGGTCTCTGTGGGTTGGAATCAACTCAACAGCACTTCACAACAACACAACAATGCACTTTTAAACTTTTTTAGTCTAATAATATTTAACTGATAATTAGTAATATCATATGAATATGAGAAAATAAGCAAGAATTAAGATCAGAGAGACCCATGTATCTAAATTACTGAACTCTTAAATAAGTAAAAATCGTATTAAAACTCAAATGGTTAAGAAATAGAAAAGACACAAAACTTCCATAATACTTGGAGTAATCAAACTTAAGCCAGGATAAAATAAGAGTTTTTGTTTCCCACCCATGAGTTTGGCAAGGCTGTGGGTCATAGTAGCTATTCTCTGCAGTCTCTGGAAGGGTACATTATAAATTGGTATGAACACTTTGAGAAGGAGTGTGCTAAGAAGACCTGGAGTCCTGGTGTGGTGCTGTAGGATAATACTGAACTGCCTAGTTGCGTGATTCAAACCCATCAGCCACTTCTTGGGAACCTTATACAAGAAGGTTGACTCTGAGTTGGAACTGACTTGATGACACTGAACAACAACAGTATATATTAATACTTGGAGTCCATGGTGATGCAAAAGGTTAATAAGCTGAACTGCTTACTGAAAGGCTGGAAGTTAGAGACTGACAGGAGTCACTTCAGAAGAAAGGCCTGGCGTCTACCTTTTAAAAATCAACCACTGAAAACCCTGCAGAGCATAGTTCTACTCTGATCCACATGAGGCTACCATGTGGTGAAATCAATCCCATGGTAACTGGTTAAAAAAGGGAAAAAGTATCTCAGAAAGTTAAAGTTACAACGTTCTCTATGACCTATGACTGCTGACCTCTATGACCTATGATCTCTATGACCTATGACCTCTATGTCCTAGAAACTCACTCACTTGAACAAAGACGATGTGCATCAAGCTATTCATCGCAGTATTATTTATTAAAGTAAAAATCCTATCAGTATGACAATGAAAATATTGATTGGTGTGCCTTTAAATGAAAGAATATCACAACACCCAGCTTAGAACAAATGACTTAACTAAATCTACGTACATCACTATGGATAGATCACAAATGTAATACGCAATTAAATATAATCCTAGAATTTTGTTGTTGTGTTGTTAAGTGCCACTGAGTCAGTTCTGACTCATCATGACCCTGTGTAGGGTTTCTGAAGAGCGGCTGGTGAGTTTGAACCACTAACTTTAGGTTCAAATCAACCTTGAAGTCCAGTGCTTATCTTAGAGTGCCACACTAGGACTTATAATATCACATACATAAATTTGAAAGCATATCTTCCTACTCCATCCTAGTGTGACACTGTAGGATAAGCGAGGTCAGTGGTTCAAACCCACCAGTCACTCTTTGGAAGCCCTATACAAGGTCTCTATGAGTCAGAATTGACTCCATGGCACTTAACAACCACAACAACCTACTACTGATAAAACAATAGTATATATACCTACTCCTACTTATCAACCATCTGGTTAGCTGATATTTCGCATCTAGAGTAGTAAATGGCATTCTACTATTTGGTGCATTAACACTGTAGCCTGACAGTGAACACCAAGATTTGAGGTTAGAGCAATGCTGACTGTGATGGTTAAGGTATATGACAACTTGGCTGGGTCCTGATTCTCACTGGTTTGGCAGTTAGGTAATGATGTAATTTGACATTTATATGCTGATGTGGTGCTGTCAGCAGCTGACATCTCAAACCCACCAGTGGCTCTCAAAACCCTATACAGGATGACTATGTGTTGGAACCGACTCAACAGCCTGCAACAACATACTAAAGCAACTTGGCAGTTAGGTAATAATATAGTCAAACTCCATCGTCTCCAATGTGTTGGCTTTCATTTTTACATAATGTCTATTTTTACATAATGACTTGATCATTGCAATCTAATTGTGAGATGAGGACTGGATGTACTATATATTAACAGTCCTTGGGTGGCACAAACTGTTTACACGGCTCTGGTAGCGTAGTGGTTACGAATCGGGCTGTGAGCCACAAGGTCAGCAGTTCAAAACTACCAGCCGTTCTGTGGTAGAAAGATGAGGCTTTCTGCTCCCGTAAAGATTTACAGCCTCAGAAACCCTCTACAGGGTCGCTATGGGTCAGAACCGACTCGACAGCACTTAACAACAAACAACAACAACTAACCTAAAGGAATCCTGGTGTGCACTGCAGGATAATGCACTGGGCCGCAAGGTCAGTTTGAACCACAGGTTGGCAGTTCAAACTCACCAGCCCTTCCTCGGAAACCCAGTATAGGATTGCTATGAATCAGAAGTGACTCAACAGCACTTAACAACAACTATCCTAAAGATTGGCAGTTCAGGCATGCCTAGTGTCACCAAACAAGAAAGACCTGGCCATCTACTTTTCTAAAGATTACAATCAAGAACGCACTATGGAACAGTTCTACTCTAACACACGTGCTCATCAGTCAGAATTGACTCAATAAGAACAGATTTTGTTTTCTTTTGTTTGGTTTATTGTATATTGATGTGTAGCGGAAGTTAAAAAAAAAAAAAAAAACTGGCTACACACCAATTCATGATGATGATACCATTGGGCATTTAAACTTCAATCTTAATGTTTTATTGTTTTTTAAATATGTAACTGAATAATATCTAAGAATGTCTAAACTTATGACTTTGTGATAGTATTATGTCTTATGTATAACCTTTTGTGTTGTTGATAAGTGTCGGGGAGTTGGTTCTGACTCATAGCCACTTTGTATAGGGTTTCCAAGGCTTTAGACTTAAAAAAAAAAAAAAAATTGTTAAGTCTTTATAGAAAGAATTCAAATTGCTGATTATGACTCACCTAATCAGTCAAGGAAGGAGCTCTGGTAGCGTAGTGATTACGAATCAGGCTGCTAACCTCAGGGTCAGCAGTTCGAAACTACCAGCTGCAGGTTACTACATTGTTGTTGTTGTTGTTATGTGCGTTGGAGTCGGTTCCGACTCACAGCGACCCTGTACAGGGTTTCCGAGGCTGTAAATCTTTACGGGAGCAGAAAGCCTCATCTTTCTCCCGCGGAACA